AATGTCACTGATGGAGGAGTTTATTACTGTGTGACCACCAATGAGCTTGGTAATCAAACATCATCAGAGATCCTTCTGACTATTAAAGGTAACTATTAAAAGGACTTCGATATGTTTAACACATTATTTCAAGCAATCCTTTGCTTAAAAAGGATTGCTTAAAATAATGTGTTCAACATAAGGCAAATAAAAGATTTGGCCAATGGTCCGTCTACTGTATGTGTCACATGTTCACACTGTCTTCATTTAGTCACTTCTATTTGTTTTTTTTCCATCTTGTCTTGTGGCGAAGTTAACCTTCTACAATTGGGCTCAGTTCTTGGAGGAATCATTGGGATCATCGTACTCATCTGTCTGGTTGTCTGTGTTTGGTAAGTATCACAAATTAAATCTTCTTCTGGCACTCTGTATATTGAACCCAACCTTTTGTCTTCCAGGCGTTTGAAGTCAACACATCCAACTGCACAACAGAGTCAGGTGAGAACATAAACTCTTTGTAGTTCTGTAATCATTTGGAAGGATCCGGCGGAAGGTTCACAAACACTTCCTGTTTGCTTTATTTATTTATTTGCAGAGTCTGACTGTTGAAGAGACAGCGAGAACAGAAGAAGACGTCCATTATGGCGAGATCAACTTCTCGAGGCACGGACCTGAACTGTCCTCTGTCTCGGTGCAGGACAGTGGACAGCAGCAGGACACGCTGTATGCACAGGTCAAAGTGTCCGACTCAGCAAACATTGCACAGACTGCTGACGTCCCAGAGGATCTCTACGCTCAAGTGAAGAGAAAATGAGTGTTGTCTTGTGGTCACATTTGGGTTGGATTCTTAATATGTTTTTTACTTATACAAGAAGTTTCATCTCTGTTTATGTAGAAAATGAAACAGGAGAAAATGCAATCTTCATTGCTCACAGTTAATTAAAGGGGAACTCCTGCAGCTCAGATAGTTTTAGCCAGTCATCGAGATACCATCATCTATATTTTTGAACGGACTTCATATGGGTGGCTGTGTGACAGGAAATGTGTTATCAGATCACTTCAAATAGAGGTCCCCAAGCTCTCAATAGGGAAGTATTCTGAAAGACATCTGTTCACACGTTAACATTGTATTACAAGATTATATTTACCTTTCAAATGTTTGTCATTTACTGAGCTCTTGTTTCTTACATTTTTTTGCATTCTCCATTCATTTGTATTTTAATAACTTCAAAAATGAACATGAGATACATTTGAAGACATTTATTCATTGCACCGTAATAAAAACCATACGACTTCTAAAATTACCTATTAATCTCAGTTGCATTTATTGGTCCAACATTTCACATATTGCGTGTAAACACCACCTGAAAATCACACAACTTAATCACAAACATTACATAAGCAGCAAAATGAATTATGCATAGTAACGCCAGTGGAAAACGGTGTTTCGAGTACTTAATGGTGTTCTGATATAAATGGATTTGAATATAAAGCTTAATTGAAAATAGAAAGGGCAGTTCCTGAGACTCAAGTCAATAGTGTATTAAAAGATCTGGTGCTATAACTCACTTAAAAAAAATATGAGTAACTTTTTTTGTCCGAAATTTGTAAAAAAACAGATGTTTGGGCTTCAGCCTGAAAACCTTAGCAACCTGGACGTTGTATTGTTAAACGTCTCAAAAGGCACCACAAGGCCGTGTTGATTGTGTTTTAGTACAATGCCAGGTCTTGTGAGTGAATGGAGGTAGTGATTAGCTTCTCTATATGAGGAGTTTGACAACGTCAAAAAATCTAACCTTCATGTTGAGACAAACCTCCCTCCTACCACCAGTCTCTCTCACCAGTGTTATTAGTGGGAAGTCTTTTCCAAAGTTGTTGCATTGTAGATTATTAGATTTTTATCTCTGGCATTTTTATTCCAAAGAGAAACACGAGAGTCACTGGTTGTGTTTTCACACACAGAGAAATTTAACTACTGGCCTGGCTATTGGTCTTTTTGAGGCGTAGTTTTTTTAATTTATTATTGAAAAAAACAAAACGCATAAACCATCTTTGACTGAGCAGCGAGTACTATTTTATACCTACATTTCATGGATGAAACCCAATCTGTGGGGATAGAACTAAGTTCTCTGTGTGTGTAAACCCAGCCAGTGACTCTTAAGTGCACCCTAATGATCTGAATCCCGAGTCATCAGTGACTACCGCCCTGTTTCTGGTTGAACTTCCTGTCCGTAGCGTTTTAATTGTGCACTCGGTCCTCCAGTGCCTTCAGCTCAGCCTCCACCTGAGCTGGCAGATCAGCTCCAACCTGCTGGGTGAAGTAGGCTCTCAACTCCTTCGTCTCCCTCTGCCAGAAAGACTTGGGCACGTCGAACAGGGCACACATATCCACGTTGCCGCTCAGACCTTTAGTGTCGATGGCGCCATCTTCTGGCAGCCAGCCGATGATGCTCCTCTTGGCCGCCTCGTCCTCCCTCTCCCGGCTGCAGCGCTTGAAGATCCACTCCAGCGCGCGGGCGTTCTCGCCGAAGCCGGGCCAGAGGAAGGCGCCGGTCGCCGGGTCCTTTCTGAACCAGTTGACGTGGAAGATCTTGGGCAGGTGTGTGGGGGCCTTACGGCTCTGCATGCTCAGCCAGTGAGCGAGGTAGTCGCCAAAGTTGTAACCGAAGAACGGCCGCATGGCGAAGGGGTCGTGCATGATCTCCTTGCCTGGAGGATAAAGAATTGGCTTTAGTAACAGCACTAGTAACGTCCTATTATCATAAAACACCTCATCAACAGGAAAGCCCTGCAATGGCTGAAACATCATAGGTGATGTCACAATATCAACAAATAGTCAACCAGATCAGAACTGTAAATCAGTACGAATGTATTTTACAGGGACTCAGACCACATGGAGATCAGGTGCGCGTTAGTACCTTTATGCTCAGCAGCTGCCGTGGCTTCAGACCTCATGGAGGCTCCAACAAAGACTCCGTGTTGCCAATTGAAGGACTCGTACACCAGAGGGACTCCTACAACGTCAACATTTGATCACGTTTAATGCACTGCTGCTCGTGTGCTGCTCGACTTCTCACGTTGACGTGCAACACAAACTGTAACGACTCAAACATGTAATGTGTTAAAAGAAGAAGACAACACGAGCACCGTGTCATTGTGCATGATGTTTGTGGGCTTCCTTTTCTGGTTGCAATGCAAGTTAGACTAATTTAGCTCACTTCCCTCTGTGACAGTCACACCACAGAAGACTAACGACTAAATGCTTCGAGAGGTAAAGCATGCATGAAAATGCTAATAATATTCAAATAAAGTCTGAAACTTTTGAGAGAAAAACTCTGGATGCTCAACGAGAGCAGCACCAACCTTCCGGCCTCCTGCCACCGAAGATGATGGCGTCGATGGGAACGCCCTCCTCACTCTCCCACCGGGGGTCAATGATGGGACACTGAGCCGCCGGGGCACAGAAGCGGGAATTGGGGTGGGCACACGGGGTCGAGCTTCCTTTTTTTTT